TGGAAACGCATTTACCCGAATAAATTCCAGCATGCGCATCAAAAAACTCATGTGATAACAAAAATGGCGGAAAGTGGCAGGTACGTTTGAGTAGACGATGAGGTCTGAATATTTTTAAATGTTATATATGAAAATGAAGTGACGACCATCCTTGATGGCAGCGTTCGAAGACGTAAGTAAGTTACTATATTCGAATAAAGGCATTTTCCCAATGCAACAACTTCCATTTTGCATTTGATATTTATCGCCAGTTTATCAGAAAGTGACGATTTTGTTCTCTTGGACTCGTTGGATGGAAACTTTATTCGCAATTAATAAATTTGATTCGCATCTTTGATGGTGATGTGAATATAGTAGTTATAAAGCATTGCTTTACTCTACTAAACAAACATATACCTGTGGGATGACTTCAGTAGATGAGTCATGTCCAACACAGAGCCCACAGCTTTTCAAACTCTATTATTATTGCATACGGCTCTCATCCATGTTTCATATTCCTGAAATCCCTCATTACTCATTCAGCTATGAAATGCTTGATTAAGGAAAGAAACACAACGGAGCAAACCACGTGGCACGTGACGGGGATTACCATGGCAACACATGAATATCCGCAGCCATTACTCCACAGCCTCTGCTTCAGTAGATATTATTGAGATTAGTCATTATTATAATCTGCCACAGCCTGAAAGCTTGACATGCATCAGGGTTTTACAAGTCATTACAAAAGCAGAGATGTTTAAATAAATGTACTTAAGAGGGAGGCATTGTGGCTCGGTGGATAGCTCTGTCACATTACAGCAAGAAGGTTGCTGGTTCTAGTCTTGGCTGGGTCAGTTGGCATTTCTGTGTGGAGTTTGCATGTTCTCTCCACGTTGGCGTGGGTTTCCTCTGGGTGCTCCGGTTTCCCCCACAGTCCAAACACATGTGCTATAGCCTAGGTGAACTGGATGAAGTAAAACATATTCAAGACATACTTTACTGTACGGCCACACTACAATGTATTAACACGATGAATAAATGAAATTCAGTAGTTTACTGTAAAATTTAGACATTTGTTTTACAGTTTCTACTGTATTTTTGACAGCAAAAGAAAGTAAAACACATTTGATCTGTTAACACTATAAATTATTGAAATACGGTAGTTTACTGTAAAATTTCAACAATTATGGAATAGTTTTTACTGTATTTTTGACAGTAAAATTACGGCAAAAAGAGCTGGTGTATTCACATTATAAATTATAGTATTTTATTGTAAAGTAAAACATAATTTGTGTATCAACACTGTACATTTATGAAATATGGTAGTTTACTGTAAAATGAGTTTATTTTAGTTTCTACTGTATTTTTGACAGTAATATTTTTGCAAAAAGCACAAAAAAAGTAAAATATATTTGGTTTATTAACACTATAAATTATCGAAATACGGTACTTTACTGTAAAATTTCAACAATTATTTTATGGTTTCGACTGTATTCTTAACAGTAAATGAAAGCAAATGGTACTACAAAAAAGTAAGACATATTTGCTGTGTTAACACTATAAATAAATGAAAAAGTAGTTTACTGTAAAAAATGTAATTTATTTTATGGTTTCTACTGTATTCTTAACAGTAGAATTAAAGGAAATGGTACTACAAAAAGTAAAACATATTTGCTGTGTTAACACTATAAATTAATGAAAACGCTAGTTTACTGTAAAAAAAACTTCAATTTATTTTATGGTATGTACTGTATTTTTTTTAAGTAAAATGCAGCAAAAAGTACTACAAAAAGTAAAACATATTTAAAGTATATTTTACGGTGCACCTGCACTACAATGTATTAACACTATGAATTACTGTAGTTTACTAAAAAAATTAAATACATTTACAGTCTCTAGTGTATTTTTGACAGTGTAGTTCTGGCAATTTGTACGACAAAAAGTAAAACGCATTTGGTGTATTAACACTATAAATTATTGAAATACGGTAGTTCACTGTAAAACTTCAACATTTATTTCATGGTTTCTACTGTATTCTTAACAGTAAAATAAAGCAAATGGTGCCATAAAAAGTAAAACATATTTGCTGTGTTAACACTATAAATTATTGAAATGCAGTAGTTCACTGGAAAATTTTGA